AAAAAAAGTCATTTAAAAGCCTTAGTGATTTACTTAAATAATAATAAGGAACAACCTCTTCAGTTAATGTCTTTTTAAGAAGTGGATAATATTTTTGCTCCCTAGCTATAATACCTATTGCACAAAAAAAAATTATCATCATTCATCATCACAGTGATCAATTCAATATAAATATATTTACCAATATTACAGGTATCTCCTTTATCACCGCTTCTTCCCCATGCTAATCTGATTAATGGAACTTTGATGGTACCACCACTTGCACTAACATTACTTTCAATGCTTTCCATTTCAATATCAAAATTTTTAAATAATGAAGGCGGTATAATACTATCATTATCTGTAGGTCCTTCAAATTGAATGGTTTTTATCTCCGCATCATTGCCAGCTGTTAAATAAGCAATAACAACACCCTTTGAAACAAGACAAGAAAAGTGTACTAGGCATGGTGAAGGATGAGGTCTTCCTGATCCTCCTCCTAAAAAAAAATCTTGGATGTTTAGGCTTATATTAATTAAATATGTTCTTGCAAAGTCACTATACCTGTAATACCGGGAGCCATACAAGTGGCAGCCTAATAAAATAAAGGAATAGGGTTAATAAAATAAAAGCGTAGTTGATTATTAATCGATTTATCCATACCGGAGAAGTTCCATTCCAAAAAGTCTAAAAGCTTGTGGATTATCATGATGAACTGTAAGATTTAAAACAACTTCTCTCGTATCATGAGCTCTTGCATGAGGTCTGAATAACAGTATAGCGTGTTAACAAGATGAAAATTTTACTTAATAAATGAAGAAACAAATATAACTTACCCATAAGTATGCTCAGCTCCTAACGGTTCAACATTTACATTACGAAAAGTTCCCAACCCAAGTTGGTTTAACATCATGTTAGTTTTCGTAATAATTGAAAGTCCAACAACTGATGCCTACAAAAGTAATTAAATTAAATTAAATTAAGCCAATTTTCTTATAACCGATCTGGTAATTTAAAAGATATTACACACTTTCTTCCAAGCATCAATTCCTCCGATAAGCAGAGAACCAGTCATTTTATAACCATCCAAATAAATTCCCGATACTTTTAGATATTCAGTAGGAGGTCTCCCTTTAGCCCCCGTGACTAAAAATTTATTTTTCTCAATTTGTTTCAATTTAACATTTCTTATATCTTGTACAACATCAGGCAAAATTTACGATCCAGGATCCAAAATTTCATAAAGCATTTGTTCTCTATCTACGGTAGCAGTAGTGACCAAACCTCCGGTTTCTTTTGGTTTTGTAACATAAAATTCCCCATTCTCAAAACATTCAACAATAGGATAACCAATATTTGTCCACCCTCCATGTTCAGAAAATGCGCTTTTCTCCCAATCAGTAAAATTACCACCCGTAGCTTGACAACCACATTCAATAATATGACCAGCTAATGATCCTGATGCAAGTTTATCCCAATCTTTATGTGGATCCCACTTAAAT